ATATATATATATATATATATATATATATATATATCATATACCATATACATTATTAGCATATAAATGCTAACAAATTATCACAATTATTTATTTCATTATTATCCTAATAACAAGTTCTATTTTTAACATTTTTTATAACTGTATATAAAAACTTTATATATATTTTTTGTGTGTATGTGTGTGTTTGTACTTTAAAGCAGCCAAATGATAAAAATTGTTTCACTCTTCTCTTAAGTACAATAAAAGAAAACATTCTATTAAATTGAAACTTTCTAAACTAAATCTATAGTGTTATCCACTAGTAATTGTGTCTTATTGAGATCATTGACTATTTAATATTTACATTATAAACAAGACTGCAGGACAAATTGGCGAATGTTGATATATCACAGTGGCGTAGTTGTCGAATTATTTCCTACTTAATCGTTCTAAATGATGCGATTCAAGATTATAATTACATTTGTCATGTAAGCGTTACATTCGAATATTTGTGCCTCATTATTCTATTTCGTTTCGTGGAATATCTTTCTATGGTGTCCATGATATTTTTGTAGACTATTTTGTCTGCATCGTTTCCCCACGTGTAGTCGAAGTGCGTCCAATCCGCATCCTCAACCAGGTACGTGCCTGCCAGGTTGCCCAATTTGGTCATCAGGATATCGACATCCTAGGGGCAAAAGATATGATAATAATTTTATATTTGATTTCCGATATAATTCTTACGTTAGTGATTTATTTGTGTGATATAGGTTCATTATATGTTCACCTTTGGGTCTGATAGCCAATCATTCATGCTCCAATGGAGGATCACAGGAGCAGTAATTTTACTCAAATCATATTCTGGAGGTTCCTTTGATTTATATACTTTTAAATTTTTTTCTTCGCCATAGTCGAATTGACAGAACTTGCCTGTAAAACAAATGATATATTTATATTCTTTTATTATAAACACCTTTATATATATTCTATTATTAACTTCCCGTAGGGTAGTTATAGTAATAGGCAGAAAATCGAAAATGAAAATTTTTGCATTTCTCGACGTTTTGAAGGTTTCTGAACATTTTGCCGGCATACCTCAAAAAAAGGATTTTTGTGTGTATGTACGTGTGTGTGTGTGTTGTTGTATGACCGCATTTTTTCGTCCACGTTTTCGGGCGCACGGATCAACCGATTTGAAGGGTTTATAAAACATTCGATCCCTATTGTCAGGGAGAAGTGCTGATTAGTTTTTGGTAAAGGCAGGTCCAACTGTTACGGAGATACGGAGCAAAGAGTGCAGAAAGTTTTTGAGAGAACGGACTATCGGATTTGAATGATCTAAAAATATTCAATTTGTAATGATTGGGAGAAGAGGTGATTAGTTTTTGACAAAGACAGGTCCTGCCATTTCAAAGATACACAGCTAAATGTGCAAAAAATTGCAGTTTTTGAGTGAACTAAGCGTCCGATTTGAGTACAGTATAAGTGAAAATTTCACACAGAATTTATTGCAAATGCGTTTAGACTGTGACTATGTTTAGGCTTGAATTCGAAATGAAATGACGATTGTTAATGTTCTGGAGATAAATTGATTTATGATTTACATTTGATTCGCTCAGATATAACAAGATGGAAAAAATAATGAAAGTTACAGTACTTGAAATAATATATTTAGAATAATATTATAAATTTATATTTAAAATTTCTCGAATTTCATTACGGTATGGGAAGTTCCAGCAATTTGCCTTAAGGCACGATGCCATACACTACTATTTTATTACCTGAATTGACCAGCTGACCATAATGAAAAAAGTAAATCCACAGAACCACCAGCAGGAGTATTAGAAAATATTAATGGCAAAATTGTCTGAAATATAATAATGTATTTATATGGAAAAATTGCTTCAACATACGAGTTATTTGACATAGGAGCGAATAAAAAATTTTTTATCTTACCGAATTGAGTTGGGCTGCATTGTAGCCTCCAACGAAATTCAAAATGGCCGTGCAGACCGCCTGCGTCCAGGCGGAGTCTCTGCACAGTAAACCAGACGCCGCCGTCAGCCATTCGCTCGACGACAGGAACTCGCGAACTCCGAAAATATTAGCCAAGTTCTGAAAAAAAAAACAATGAAAATATATGAATAAAATCATAACATCAAATGAAAGAAAGAAATCTGATTTTTCACCATTCAAAACAATTTTCTACATATATTCACTTTTAATTGTTTAAAAAATTAAGTGTTGTATTAACATTAGTATAATTATATATCATCATCTGTGATTTTGGAATACATTGTAGAATGAACATTATAAAATATATTAATAATTACATATTATTATAATGACAATTACAACATACTTGGACTCTGACTACACGTACAATTCAAACTTCAGTAGTTATGAATTACTTTTGAGTATTAATATATTTTATGATGATTTATCTCCAATTTGTTCATGTCAAATAATAAGAATTCAGCGAAATTATGTTATTTTTTATTTGATGTTATATTTCTTTGGTGATTTTGTTAATATATTCACTTTAAAATTTCTAATGACTCAAAATAATTGTACGAGAAAGTAATAAAATACGATTGAAATACAGTATTGGTAATACATTGAAATATTAATCAACAGTATATTAATATTAATATTATATTAATACGAAATTACAAATAAATTTATTTGATATTAATTTAATGATTGTTTTTTCAAAACGCTTAAAACTATTACAAGGCCCTTAGCTAAAATTACACATCCTTCGTCAAATTCTTCTGTTTCACTGTAAAGTAAACCTTCTTATCCTTTTATAGCTTCTTAAACTACGAGTCCCGACCCCAACATCTAGATTTTTGAATGTTTTACAACGAATTCTAAAACAATATATTGACATATGCATATTTATTTACCTAATACCTAATAAACAATCATCTAAAATAATAATTTCCTTTTTTCTTATATATCGTATATCTATTTATAATTGTGTGGGGTCGTCAAGAAACTCGCAATTATGAATGGGGTCGCGAATAACAAAAGTTTAAGAAGCCCTGGTTCAAACCAAGAGACATGGCTCTCTTATTTTGGACCTATTTGGTTATAAAAGTAAATAATATTTTCTAAATGTACAAAAATAAAAATAAAATGCCAATTAAACCTGTACATGCAATCAATATTATATAAATTATAGTTAAAATTTCAAACGTTTGAACAATTATAATTATTTTAACGTTTGAATCGATATCGGTATATCGATATATTCGCATGGTAAATTGTTACAATCATAGAAAAAAGAAGAGTTCATGGTTATAACACCATGAAAATAATATTAATATGTAATTGAAATGACTAACCGTAAAATAATTTACTATCACAGCCAAAATATGTCTATGGTATGAAAAACATTGCGACAAACCGACGAAATTCATACCAATTCTTGTTTTCATTTTGCCATTAACATTTTTCTAGAAAACTCTTACTGGCTCAATGCTCGTATTTCGAATTTTTTCTCCCAAGTCGGGGATACCACTGTATTACAATTGCAATAATATAATGACGTATTTCTTCTAATCAGTAAATTTCGACATCAAAACAATGAGTAATAGGTAATGATTTATTCAGTAGAGACAGTTCAAGGATCAAAATGATTGTAGATGTCTTAAAGATTAATTTGCGTAAATAAATACTGCGTTTTAAATCTAATCAAAATAATCGGTGACATTTCGTATAACACGTGTCTCTGTACAACATCTGTTATCACACTTAATCATTTTTTATGATAATCTTGTGCGATATTTTTCGACAAAGTCCAAGGATTGTGATTCTCAAACATTTTCTATGTCTGTCTATTTATTAACTTACTTGTAAGAATGGTAATACGCTGACCGCCAGCCTGACGAAGGGGCTCTTGCAGTGGGACATGTAGGCTATGGGGGCCATCGCTTGCATCGAGGCTATTTTCGAATTGTACGATTGCTTCTGTGAAGCCATCACGAAAAATGCAGTCGTGCCCTGCGAGTGCCCCACATAATGCAACCTAGTGTAAAAGATAATGGATCAATAATGTAATAATTATATTACATACTTAAATTTTTTTAACTTTAACTAAATTACTTTCAATACTTCAAAAATCGCACAACGATTAACTGTCAAAACACTCATACGAGAATTCATAATAGCCAACACACAAATACCTTATACATGAAAATTAACACGAACTTCAGACCAATTGTCTTCATAGTACAGATTACCGGTAAATTCAAATACCTATTTCCTGATCTTGTGATATATACATTAAATGCTTCCAAATTGATAAAAAAAATTCTCTGAAAGTTTTAGCTTCTAAAATACTCCAACCAAAATTTATTTTGGAAATAACATCGGTAAAATTCCATTTATTTTTTAGAACTTTATAACTTAGCCACAAGTGAATTAAAATTTTGAGAATAACATTGTATTTGCTTATTTTGATCATAAATAAAAAAAAATACAACAAAAATTTGATATATTTTATAAAATAAGTATTTACTTAGGAAGAAGAACCAAGAAGCTTTGATTTGAGTGCGAACTATCTTATAATTACTATTAGAAGCTACATTTTCGATTTTCATTGCTCCCAAGGGCTCAAATGGTTCCAAATTAATAAAAAAACAATTCTCTGAAAGTTTAATATTGTCTTTTAGATAGCAAAAAAAAAAATTCAAAAATTTTGCAGGGCGTCGAATTTTCAATGAAAAATGACACGAATTTTCACTTTTTAAACAACAAAAATTTGATATATTTTATAAAATAAGTATTTACTTAGGAAGAAGAACCAAGAAGCTTTGATTTGAGTGCGAACTATCTTATAATTACTATTAGGAGCTAAAAATGCAGAGTATTTTGTTATCTCATCCTAATATATATACACATACACATATATATATATATATATATAATATATATATACATATATATATATATATATATATATATATATATATATATTCAAAGTAACTAGCAGCCCATTCGTCGAAATAAAAAAGGTATAAAGTATAAAAACTTTTATTTATACGTTTCGACACGTATCTTGTGTCGAAACGTATAAATAAAAGTTTTTATACTTTATACCTTTTTATTTCGACGAATGGGCTGCTAGTTACTTTGAAATATGTTTCAACGTCGAAAAAAAAACTATCAATATATATATATATATATATATATATATATATATATATATATATATATATATATATAGGGTGGTCCTTAATATGGACATTTTCGATTTTCATTGCTCCCAAGGGCTCAAATGGTTCCAAATTAATAAAAGAACAATTCTCTGAAAGTTTAATATTGTCTTTTAGATAGCAAAAAAAAATTTCAAAAATTTTGCAGGGCGTCGAATTTTCAATAAAAAATGAAACGAATTTTCACTTTTAATTCATTTGTCGCTAAGTTATACCTCAAAAATTTTTTTTTCAATTTTCAAAATTTTATCCATGCTATTTCCATACGAAGTTTAATTGAATTGCGCACTATATAAAAGTTAATATTAAAAGCTAAAACTTTCAGAGAATTGTTTTTTATCCCTTTTAGAGAATTGTTTTGAGCCCTTGGGAGCTAGGAAATTCGAAAATGTCCATATTAAGGACCACCCTAATATATATATATATATATATATATATATATAATTATATATATATATATATATATATATATATATATATATATATATATATATATATATATATATATATATACAATATTCCTTCACAATTTACCTCTTTTCACCAGTAACATTGAGTGCATGGTCAATCATTGCAGGAACATCATACATTCCAATGTGATGCCATCTGGTAAAATAAAAAATACATCATTCACCATCAGACTTAAATCAATTAATTCTTCTAATGATCTTACGTAAAGTCCCAAAATCTTTTATAATCAGGATTATATTTCTTATGTCCCCTGGAATATGTATTTCCTCTGGCATTGCCCATCCAGACATCGTAACCAGCATCGTGTAATAAATAAGCTGAAAATAGATATAAAATGATAACTTGTATTATAATTCTGAAATTTGTTTTTGTAAATAGAAAGAATGATAAAGTGATAAAATCTGGCTTTCTAGTCACATTTCTAATAAGAGAGGACCGTCTATTGCACAACCGACAACGGAATGCATAATTAATTTAGCACATTTCAAATATAACGGACGAAAATTACTGTGTGTTTGTTTTGTTCTGGTGTTAGGATTGGGTTATATGGGCAGCGAATAAATTAAATTTAATTCACTTGATTAAAGATTTAAAAAAAGTATAAATAGATTGCAAACACGGTAGCTTTTTTATTACCCATAGGGGCACTACTAACTGTAGCACGTAAATCAACCCCTAGGTTTAATTCTAGATCTAGATATAAATTATATTTTTTTAAAATATAATGTAGAAAAAATAAAACCTGATGATTTTTAACTCTTCAACATGGTAAAGCACATTTGTTCTAAATTTACCACAATTGGTATATAAGTATTTTTTTTAAATTAACCCAGAAATAAATTAAGTTTTGCTTCTAGACTACTACTTAAATTAAATATTTAAATATAACAAATATCAAGTGCATTAAATTTAATGATGCCTAATTAATTAATTCTAAATTAATTATTAAAATTGCATTATTTAAATACACATTATCTAATATTAAATAATATTAGGTAATTACATCTCAGATAACAGTATGTGTACATTGATTTTGTATTTCTTTCATAATTATGTTATTTATTAAATGTTTCACTGTATTTTTCAGTTTTAAACTTCCCAAAGTAAAAATAAATTCATTCTATATTCAATACATATATGTACAGTGTACATTTAATAAATAACATAATTATAAAGGAAATACAAAATCTAGTATATATACGTGCCAATTCTTAACAAATAATTTCAAAAAGACTAGTATATCCACAATTAATGCATTTTCTAACCATAATTTTATTTATAATTTATTATATATATATATTACATTTATTACATAATATTCTATCTTGACATGGTTATTATTAACAAATAAATAAGAACAACGAAACTTTGAACCAAAAGTCTTTCATTGAAAATTTCTTACTTAAATGAATTGTTTATAAACAAAATCGTAAAAATAGTTTAAAATGATATAAATGATATGACAATTATTTACCTGTTTGACTAATATAAGTATAACACTATTTAATTACTAAATTCTACAAGTTGTTATATTATTTAAAGAAATCTGGTATTCTTGTTTATTTTCTAATATAATTATTGTGTTAAAAAATACTGAATTTATATTAGTCATGCAAACAAATAGACTTTTTACATATATTCTTTAATCATAACTTTTTATTTCATCACTAAATTTTTTATATAATTCATTCCTAATTTTTTTATGTAATTCATTCCTTGATTTTATAAAAATATATTCTTATTTATTTCTAATTAATAATACCATGTTTTAGAAGATGTATCTCACATAGTTATATAGTAACTGTATAAAGATATATAATTTAATCCTTAAAAATATGTATATGTATATATATATATATATATATATATATATACGTGTATATATATACATTTAAAATATATATAAATACATATATGTATATATATATTTGAATTGCAAAATTATTAGAAGATTTAACAAATTTAAAGAAACATCATTATACCAGTAAAAAACAAATGAACATATATAAATTTTAAAAATTAATAAACCAAAACATTGCATAAAATATAATAATAAAATAAATAGTAAATAATGAAATTATGTAGTTTGTCACACGATTACTAAATTGTCAAAATTTCACTTATTGCAAAACTCATTTTTCAAATCGACAAATACAAACATTTAAAAAGTACATAATTTTATAATTTAATATTAAGTTTATTAGTTTTTTTCTTTGAACAGTGTCGATAAAATTTATTTTTTATGATGGCACACATAATGTGTCGAAACTTACATAATGAATAGAATTATTGATAGAAATAGCATTAATTGAGGATATTTGTATTAAAAATATTGAAAATGGCAAACTTTGTAACTGCTGGTTCTTTCTACATTAATAAAGTTGGGGTTTTATTTTAATTTATTTTTCTGAACTAAAACCGTCCTCGTTTTTATATATTCAATATATTTTTCATAATTATTTACACGAATTATAAGAAAAATTAAATACATATTTATTAGGGTGGTCCTTAATATGGATGTTTTCGAATTTCCTTCCTCCCAGGAGCTCAAATGTTTCCAAATTGATAAAAAAACCGCTCTCCAACCAAAGCTTCTTTTCTTTGGTTCTTTTCTTCCTAAGTAAATACTTATTTCATAAAATATACCAATTTTTTTTGTAATTTTTTGTAAACTTGTAAGGAAATTCGAAAACATCCACTTAATGTATATTTAGATGGAAAAAGAGGCTCTAGTTTTTTTGCCAATGTGTTATTAATTAAAATAGTTCAATTTGTAACATTGTAACATCGATGTTTGCTTTGAGCAAACTCAATATTTGGAACGACACTTTGGCCGCGAGTGTTAAAATTCGAAACAATGGAAGGGCAATGGCATCGTGTGCATTGAATATTGAATTTACATTAAATATTTGTTCTCGTTTCATTGATTTGCTTTGTAGCAATCTTAAATAATACATACATCATACATTTCACATGATTCTTATGGATAATGGAAAATTTACATGTGAACTAGTAATTCATTTGGACTTCCAATCATCAAGTGCATAATATCAATAATAATATTTTACCTAATGCTTTTCCTCTCCCGAGACAAACATATTCGGCCGAACTGCAAAACATGCAATGCATTAGAAAAACAACCCCTATCCTGTCGGGGTTGGGCAGCCTGTGCATGGAAAGGACATAACCGTCGTCGGTGGTAACACTATGTTGTTCCATGGGGTATCCATTTTGTGTCACCATTCTGGGCTAAAATAAGTAATAAATCATAATCTAGAAATATAAAATATATCATTGAGAAGGCGCAGAGATTAAAAATAACATAGGTCTTTTGAACCTTGAGGATTTTATACACAGTTCGTTTTGGCGCCGGTTCAAAAACGAACGAGATTTCATTTTTAAACATCATAATTGATACATATTAATATATATATATATATATATATATATATATATATATATATTCGTATTTTAACATACAATCCTAAAAATGCAAGCAAATTGAAAACCTTGACAAAAAAGTTTGATAAAAAATACCTTCCATTATATTCTGAAGTATATCTGTTTGAGAATCCACGATTTTTTATTGATTTATATTAAATTTCTGAAGATTCAAACTATTTTTATACAACATCCAAATTTTGGGTGTGGCTTTTAAGTGCCTCTGATTTTACATCTCCTTGTCCGGTATCCATTTGTAGAAATATTAAAAATAACGGTTTTTTGTTTCGATTCTATATCCTCATAAACCTTATGGAAGCTCTAGGGCTTCCGTTCATATTTAACTAAGAAATAACAGTTATTATAGAATTGTATAAACTATGTCATAGTTTAAAAAATCTGAGTAAAAACTTACACACAGTTTTTATAGAAAACATGAAATGGCCTTGATAGTTTAAAATATATAAGTAAAAACTTACTCACTGGTTTTGCAGAATAGTGTTATCTATACTATATGGCCTTGGTAGTTTATGAGTAAAAACTTACTTACTGTTGATTTCTGTCTTTAGCAATAGAATATATAACAATTATTTGTTTTCCATTACACAATAAAAAGCGTAAACTGTTGAAGCAAATATATAAAACGCAAACATTTCTTCATTCCATTTCTTTTATCAACTGACATTCAACCGATCGGAAAAGTGTACAAGAAATTGCGCCAAAAGTTAATGTGTGAAGTTCGCAGAAAACTTTTCAAGTTCGTACCGGAAAGTGGCGGGTTTTCTGATAAATGAATTAATAATATATTATATAATAATATTCAATAATGATATAATATATTACAACATATTTGTTTAATTTATTGCATTAAATAATATTTTGGGATCAATTTTCAAATTAAATTGAGTCCAACAGGCAAAATTTAATTAATTCGAAAAGACTTGCACAAACTTCACACCTACGAAAACGGATTAATTTTTACAGATACAACGGATACAATTTTATATTTGTGCCAACAACTTCACGCAATTAACACAAGTGAAACGTCATTGAATTATTTCAAACTTTGCGTAATTTATTAAAGAAAATCTGTCATCTTTTATAGTTACATATACTTTAAGTTATCAAAATTAATAATTTAAACTATATATGCATTATCAAATCGTAAAATAATTACGTCAAAGTGCAAACTCAACTCGAAATAATGAATTTCAAATAAAATAAATTCACTGGCACATTATAATTTTATCACATTTAACTGTCATTACATATTTTCATTTTTTGTTACTCTTTAAATGAAGCAAAAACCAACAACAAAATTACTAAAATAAAATACCTCTCTATTTACGTTGGCTTTTTTTTTAATAATACTTGTCAACTTTTACAAATATATTATAAAAAAACTATTTAAAATTTCTTTAATAAATAACCTCATTTCTACTTTTTGAGATTGTGAAATAACAATGTAAAAATGCAAACGCATCTCAAAATTATCAATGCAGTTTAATGCATTCTGATAAATATATAGAATATAATGACTTACATTGATTGAAAGTAAATCTTTTATCTGATTTAAGTTTTAAATAAAATTCACTGACTTTTTAATGCACTTTAACTGTCATTGACTTTTTGCTTCTTATTTTTCTACAGTGAATACCAACCGGAAAAGTATCAAAATATTTGCATTTCCAAATTTGCCGCTCAATTCAAAAATATATTTATAAAATATTTCTCAATTCGAATTTAAAATTAAATCAAGTTCAATTAATAATTTAAAGAAATAGCATAATTATTAATGCATAATAATGTCAATGCAAATGCATAGAAATATATATATATATATATATACATATATATATATTATATATTATATTATATATATATATATATATATATTATAATATTTTAAAAAATCCTTTATCTTACCGTTCTTGGTGATCTCGTAGGCTGTGTACCCATCATAAGCAATTCGCCTAAATAGAAATTTTGTAACATCTGCATCCAATCAAACTTCATTTTTGTTTATTGTTTCACTAAAATTTGCTGATTAAATTATCAAAAGTAAATTAATGGCTCGTGGTGTACAAGATAAACAATCACATGATTTATAGTCTCATTGTTTTAACAACAATCACAAGAAATTGCACAATAATTAAAATAATATTCTAAAATTGACTTAAGTTTACTAGATGCACTTGTACGTTTATATTAATAATGTTATATGAGATTATTTAATGTGTTGTGAATCGTTAGATTTGTTTCTAATTCCGAGAAATCCTCGATGTTTTCTCTTCTATTGCTATAGTCGTACTAACTCGTACATTCTAATATCGAAACGATATAAGCTTTGTTAACGCATATGTAAAAACATACGCGCTCACACACACATAGAGCACGTTGTGATTTTAAATTCATACTTGAGTTGTATAGGCAGTAATTCGGAGATAAAACTAGCTGTAAGTGGAATTCTGTCTTAAGGCAATTAGGGCATCGTGCTTAAGGCAAATTGCTGGAACTTCCCGTACCAAAAATTATTATTTTTTTAAAAAAACGATTACATTATTGAAAAAAAATTTAATTAAAAAAAAATAGTTGAGAAAAACTACAAATTTGACAAAAATTACTTTTTTTTTTGAAAAAAAAAAATTTATATGAAAAAAAAATATTTTTTTTTGAAAAAAAAATTTTTTTTTTGGATACAAAAAATTTTTTTGAAAAAAATGTTTTCTTCATTTGACATATTTTGGAAATTCTGAACTTTTTTTCAAAGCAATCGCACTGCTTGAACTGCATAGAGACGAATGTCAAAGCTCGCAAGTGCCGCGCCGCCGTCTAACGCATAAGCATTGGTAGGAACCCATAAAAAATGTAAAAAAAAAATATACTTATTGTTAAAAAAAACTCTATAAAATATCTGATAATGTGATGTGATATGTCTAATGATAATTTTTAACCGCCGAACGGCATTATTTTTTACTTTTTTCATTAGATCTCCGAAACCGCTAGACCTACCTCCATGAAAATTTGATCAATTCTACATCTTGTCAATACAAGTAAAATGTTTTTGAATTATTAAATCGGACGCTCCGTTCTCTTAAAAACGGAGGTACCGTTCTTGTCACTTTTTGGCCCCGTATCTTCGGAACGGCTAGACCTGCCTTTGCCAAAACTAATCAGCACGTCTCCTTATCAATACGAATCGAATGTTTTTTGAATTATTTCAAATCGGTTGATCCGTGTTCCCGAAATCGTCGACGAAAATTTGTATCCGCACAACATACACACACGGAACATACATACATACATAAATACATACATACATACATACATACATAACACAAACACACAACACACACACAACATACATCCAATTTTTCTAAGGTATGCCAAAATGTTCAGAAGGTTTTGAAACGTCGAGAAATGCAAAAATTTTCATTTTCGATTTTTTTGCGATTACTATAACTTACCCTACGGGAAGTTAAAAATATACTGGTTAGATAATTAAAGGAATAGAGAAGTTAATCTAGTAGCATTATAAAGTGATTATTACTCATCTTTAATATTTACTAATATTAAAATTACAAGTATAGTTACTTGTATATGTGTATGTACGTTTTCATCCATCACATCTTGATACGGATTTGAAATAATTATAGAAAAAATCGACATCCTGGTAATATCCATTAAAATAGTTGACTTTACAATTGAATTGTTTGTAGTTATCTAAATATAGATTTTTTAAATTATATCGTATCTTAATTCATACAGATGACGTACAGATTATCTGCTTCTGAACTTTAGACTCTAATTACGTGCGTTTATTTAATACCTTGCATGTGTGTACATACATATATTCATATGTATTTTTTTCATGTTACTTTGGCTGTCTGTGAAAATGTTGAAGCTCAGATTTTATTGTTTAATAGTTTCATGCTAAGTCCTCCTCTTTCATTTACTACTTCAGCAATATTTACCTATATAATTAACATTTTTATTAGTTGTTTATATTGTTGACAGAATCATTTGACTAGGTACTACCAAAGCTTACAGCTACTAGCCTTACAAATTTAATCATTCAAATTATTTGTCCAGATATAGTTTACAACTATGGTACTGTACTTACTTGTTCTTTGTGAACTGCTATTGAAGATTTTTAACACTTTTGCATTCCATTTTCTTTAATAAAAGCGAAAACTAACGGAATATTTATGCAAAAACTAGAACATTTTAATGACAGTTCTATTGCATGAAGTTGGTGCAAGTTTTTTCGATTTTTCTGAATGAATGAAAATGTTGAAACTCCAATTTTTTTATTTTATAGATTAAATGCTCAGTCCTTTTCATTCTTTATCAATATTTATGCCTTTATAAATACATTATTATATTATTACGCTCATATAGAACCATTGGTAACTAAATTAATGTCTAAGTACCACTAAAACTTTTCACTGCTCACCTTGGAGATAGAATACTTTAAATTATTTGTCCTGGTATAGTTTACTACTACTGTACTGTACTTACTTGTTCTTCGTGAACTGCTATTGAAGATTTTATAAGACTTTTGCATTCCATTTTCTTCAAAAAAAGCGAAAATTAAGGGAATAATTATACAAACATTTTTTAATGGCAGTTTTATTGCATAAAGTTGGTACAAGTTTGTCCGATTTTGCGGAATGAATGAAAATTTTGAAGCTTCAATTTTATTTATTTTATAGATTTTCATAGACTTTATGCTCAGTCCTTTCTTTACCTATATAATTACATTTATATTAGTTGTTTATATTGTTGACAGATTTATATGA